TGTGTGGTGGTGGTCAGCTGCTGCCTGGGTGTGTGGTGGTCAGCTGCTGCCTGGGGTGTGTGGTGGTGGTTAGCTGCTGCCTGGGGGTGTGTGGTGGTGGTCAGCTGCTGCCTGGGTGTGTGGTGGTGGTCAGCTGCTGCCTGGGGGTGTGTGGTGGTGGTCAGCTGCTGCCTGGGGGTGTGGTGGTGGTCAGCTGCTGCCTGGGGTCTGTGGTGGTGGTCAGCTGCTGCCTGGGGGTGTGTGGTGGTGGTCAGCTGCTGCCTGGGGGTGTGTGGTGGTCGTCAGCTGCTGCCTGGGGGTGTGGTGGTCAGCTGCTGCCTGGGGGTGTGTGGTGGTAGTCAGCTGCTGCCTGGGGTGTGTGGTGGTGGTCAGCTGCTGCCTGGGGGTGTGTGGTGGTGGTCAGCTGCTGTCTGGGGTGTGTGGTGGTTGTCAGCTGCTGCCTGGGGTGTGTGGTGGTGGTCAGCTGCTGCCTGGGGTGTGGTGGTGGTGGTCAGCTGCTGCCTGGGGGTGTAGTGGTGGTCAGCTGCTGCCTGGGGGTGTGTGGTCAGGTGCTGCCTGGGGGTGTGTGGTCAGGTGCTGCCTGGGGTGTGTGGTGGTGGTCAGCTGCTGCCTGGGGGTGTGGTGGTGGTCAGCTGCTGCCTGGGGTGTGGTGGTGGTCAGCTGCTGCCTGGGGTGTGTGGTGGTGGTCAGCTGCTGCCTGGGGTGTGTGGTGGTGGTCAGCTGCTGCCTGGGGGTGTGGTGGTGGTCAGCTGCTGCCTGGGGGTGTGTGGTGGTGGTCAGCTGCTGCCTGGGGGTGTGTGGTGGTGGTCAGCTGCTGCCTGGGTGTGTGGTGGTCAGCTGCTGCCTGGGGTGTGTGGTGGTGGTCAGCTGCTGCCTGGGGTGTGTGGTGGTGGTCAGCTGCTGCCTGGGGGTGTGGTGGTCAGCTGCTGCCTGGGGGTGTGTGGTGGTGGTCAGCTGCTGCCTGGGGGGTGTGGTGGTGGTCAGCTGCTGCCTTGGTGTGTGGTGGTCAGCTGCTGCCTGGGGTGTGTGGTGGTGGTCAGCTGCTGCCTGGGGGTGTGGTGGTGGTCAGCTGCTGCCTGGGGGTGTGGTGGTCAGCTGCTGCCTGGGATGTGTGGTGGTAGTCAGCTGCTGCCTGGGGGTGTGGTGGTGGTCAGCTGCTGCCTGGGGGGGTGGTGGTGGTCAGCTGCTGCCTGGGGTGTGTGGTGGTGGTCAGCTGCTGCCTGGGGGTGTGGTGGTGGTCAGCTGCTGCCTGGGGTGTGGTGGTGGTCAGCTGCTGCCTGGGGTGTGTGGTGGTGGTCAGCTGCTGCCTGGGGGTGTGGTGGTGGTCAGCTGCTGCCTGGGGTGTGTGGTGGTGGTCAGCTGCTGCCTGGGGGTGTGGGGTGGTGGTCAGCTGCTGCCTGGGGTGTGTGGTGGTGGTCAGCTGCTGCCTGGGGTGTGTGGTGGTGGTCAGCTGCTGCCTGGGGGGGTGTGGTGGTGGTCAGCTGCTGCCTGGGGGTGTGGTGGTGGTCAGCTGCTGCCTGGGGGTGTGGTGGTGGTCAGCTGCTGCCTGGGGGTGTGGTGGTGGTCAGCTGCTGCCTGGGGGTGTGGTGGTGGTCAGCTGCTGCCTGGGGGTGTGGTGGTGGTCAGCTGCTGCCTGGGGTGTGTGGTGGTGGTCAGCTGCTGCCTGGGGGTGTGGTGGTGGTCAGCTGCTGCCTGGGGTGTGTGGTGGTGGTCAGCTGCTGCCTGGGGTGTGTGGTGGTGGTCAGCTGCTGCCTGGGGTGTGTGGTGGTGGTCAGCTGCTGCCTGGGGGTGTGGTGGTGGTCAGCTGCTGCCTGGGGTGTGTGGTGGTGGTCAGCTGCTGCCTGGGTGTGTGGTGGTGGTCAGCTGCTGCCTGGGGTGTGTGGTGGTGGTCAGCTGCTGCCTGGGGTGTGTGGTGGTGGTCAGCTGCTGCCTGGGGTGTGTGGTGGTGGTCAGCTGCTGCCTGGGGTGTGTGGGGGTGGTCAGCTGCTGCCTGGGGGTGTGGTGGTGGTCAGCTGCTGCCTGGGGGTGTGTGGTGGTGGTCAGCTGCTGCCTGGGGGTGTGTGGTGGTGGTCAGCTGCTGCCTGGGGGTGTGGTGGTCAGCTGCTGCCTGGGGGGGTGTGGTCAGGTGCTGCCTGGGGGTGTGGTGGTCAGCTGCTGCCTGGGTGTGTGGTGCTGGTCAGCTGCTGCCTGGGGGTGTGTGGTGGTGGTCAGCTGCTGCCTGGGGGTGTGTGGTGGTGGTCACCTGCTGCCTGGGGGTGTGTGGTGGTCAGCTGCTGCCTGGGGGTGTGTGGTGGTGGTTAGCTGTTGCCTGGGGTGTGTGGTGGTGGTCAGCTGCTGCCTGGGGGTGTGTGGTGGTGGTCAGCTGCTGCCTGGGGGTGTGTGGTGGTGGTCAGCTGCTGCCTGGGGGTGTGTGGTGGTGGTCAGCTGCTGCCTGGGGGTGTGTGGTGGTCAGCTGCTGCCTGGGGGTGTGTGGTGGTCAGCTGCTGCCTGGGGGTGTGTGGTGGTGGTCAGCTGCTGCCTGGGGGTGTGGTGGTGGTCAGCTGCTGCCTGGGGGTGTATGGTGGTGGTCAGCTGCTGCCTGGGGGTGTGGTGGTCAGCTGCTGCCTGGGGGTGTGGTGGTGGTGGTCAGCTGCTGCCTGGGGGTGTGGTGGTGGTCAGCTGCTGTAACGTATCGGAAAATGAAAATGAAACGAATGAAGAATGTATGAAGGAACTGATGATGTGAGGGAGGTAGAGAGGTGTGAGGGAAAGTTTAGAATGAGTGGGAGAGGAGTAGATCAAGGAGTAAAGTAGAAAGTAGGAGTAGAAGTATAGTAGAGATATAGAAATAGAAGTTTACTGCCAACGATTCATTCAAGTTAATTATATATAAGACAGGAATGGAACTTGTCTACACAAGAATATTATCTGATGTTATCACGTATAAACTGTAAGCATGTACTCGTATACCCAAGACTCTTTAATTCATAATCTTAAGTCAGTAACCTTCAGAGTGCTCTCCACTTTAACTTTCAATATGCAAGATCTGAGGATCAGAAGTAAATACAATTTACAAAAGTAAGTTAATCAATTATATATATATTTACTATTATACGTATCATAATTCACTCATTTCACTCGATGTTAAATTCAACATTAATACACAATTTGAATTACCACACAAGAAATTGAGATCACTACGGCTGAATGCTCCTGATAATGATACAACACCTAAGTTGAAATCACAATATACGTCAACCTTACAAGTTCACTCACTTAAGTCTGAGGCTAAGTTTGACGGAGAGTATGAGGGGGGGGGGGAGGGGAGGGGTACGGGTGACAGTCCCCACCGTCCCGGGACAGGCCTTGGTCTGGCTGCGGACCTCTGGACAAACGATCTATCTGTCGTCCTGATCAGTGTTTCAAATGTACAGTTACATGGGTATTATTGGGGGAACCGGGAGCTAAGCCCCGCTTACTAAGGAGATAGCCTCTGGTTATCTACCTACCACGTAGACAGCGGCTTGTCTGATGGAAAGACACAGCCACCGGTTGCAATTATGAGTTTAATAGAAAGCAAGGTCACTTCACACGGCCCGACCGCTAGTCAACCTCTAATCTCTAAAGATGTGACTTCTTAATCGGTAAAGGCAGACACTTCAAATATATTGTGTGACCGACTCTTATTGTATGTCAAATAAATATATACCAAAAATACATGGTGTTACATCTCCCCACCCCCCTTAATAATGTTTTTGCAACACTGCTAAAGCAAGTAAGCAGGGCGAGAAAACTATGTATAAAAACATCCTAGCTAAACAATAGTACATCATCCTACTCTAAAATGTAGACAAGAAATCTGGAATCTCTGGTTGGAAGGCGTCACTGCTTGGTCTTGTAGATAGTCTTGAGACGTGTTTCTTCAACACAAGTGCATCAGTCGCTGCTCCTTCTGGGACGTGCAACAACGCCGCAGTCAACCAAGGAAGCTGTACTTCCTGCACTCAGCACAGTACCGTGGATGTCGGTCGCCCCAGCTGATCTGTAGTTGACCCAACGTCAGTCACCATGAGGGACGTATATTGGGTTCTTCACAGCTATAGGCACTACAAGTTTCGAAAACTCTATATAGTTG